GGCCGCTCCCGGTCACCGCAGCCTCGACCTGCTAGGCTCCGGCGATCCTTCCGCCTCAGCTTTCCGAGTAGCTGGAACCACAGGCGCACACCACCACGCCCAGCTAATTTTATGATTTACTATAGAGACCAGTTCTCGCCATGTTGCCCAGGCTGGTCTCAAACCCCTGAGCTCAGGCAATCCTCTCGCCTCTGCCTCCCAAAGAGCTGGGATTCCAGGTGTGAGCCACTGTGCCCAGCTTTTACTATTATTATGATGATGATCATTTTCTCTGAATTAAGTTCAGGAACACTGAGCACGGTGGATTTGCCTAATCCCTTGGCTACCCTTGAATTTCACTCTGAATTTTTTTTTTTGAGTTGGAGTCTCACTCTGTCACCCAGGCTGGAGGGCAGTGGCACGCTCCTGGCCACCGCAGCCTTGACTTGCTGGGCTCTGGCAGTCCTTCTGCCTCAACCTTCCAAGTAGCTGGAACTACAGGCACGCACTACCACCCTGGCTTACTGTTATTATTATTTTTTATTGTAGAGACAAGGTCTCACCAAGTTGCCCAGGCAGGTCTCGAACCCCCAGGCTCAGGCAATCCTTTCGCCCGAGCCACCCAAAGTGCTGGGACAACAGGCTGAGCCACTGTGCCTGATCTCACTCTGAACCTGACACAGCTTTTCCTGTAGTGGAAGGAGGGCAGACACTGTGCTCCTTGCGTAGCAGATGGGGAAACTGAGACCCAAAGAGGGAAGAGAGTGACCCTAGGCCACCACAGGCTTGGAGCCGGCTTTTCCAGGACTGGGGAGAGAGAGGAGGGGAGGGCGGGTAGTTGTCTCCATCTCTGGCCTTGGCTGTCCTCTGCGGGGCGACCTGGGAATAAAACGCTGTAATCTGGAAATATAACCCGAGACCCCATGAGCGAGACTTTGTGTCCAGCCCCACCTGCCCCCTCCAGGACAGGTGCCCACTCCGCCCTCACGTCCATCGCCCTCTGAGGTTCTCCTAATTGTCTCTCTCATCATCTCACGGATGCCTCAGACCACTCTGAGGAGACCATTGTGGACAAGTGGGGGGAACTGAGGCCCACGGAGAGCAATCTCAGGAATGTGACCTTCTCTTTCTGGGCTTCAGCCTCTAAGGAGAGATCTCCCAGGGCTGCCTGGCTCTGCTCTGTGACAACCCCGCTCCTTTGACATAAAGCAATCCAGGAAGGCTTCCTGTAGGAAGGGGGCTATGATAACCATGGTATGGATAATATAATATGAACTGTTTGCTAGCATATTAATCATTTGTTGTTCTATTATTATAATGGTATACTATTCATTGTTTTTTGCTTTTCTTTTTTTTTTTTTTTTTTT